GCAAAGAGTTCACTCAGCCAAGAGAGAATAATAGCACTTTAAGAGCTGTCTTATCATTTGTCCATTTAGTTCAGTACTTTCTGATATAGAAGCTTCCCCAACTGTTACAACCTATGAACATTTAATAAGATGAGAAACTGGTCATATTGTTGTGCTATAGCTTCATTTTCACTTAATCTAGATATAGATGAAAAAGGATATGGGTGACACTAGTGTCAAAGGAGATATGAATTAGTCTTCCTTCTCTACATACAGTGCATTGCCAACCCAATAGGCTGTTTAATTCAACTCATACAATATCATTGATTTTCCTGCCAACCAACCAAAGTATTCTTATACCTCTCTATATCTTTTCTTGAAGTGCTTTTAGTTCTAAAACAATGGAATTAGATCCCTAAAATGAGTAGGCAGATTAGCTAAAAATGGTTATAACTTAGAACAATTGTAGCTTGTCATATGGATTCTATCTTTCATTCATTTTGTATTACTTTACTGTGAAAATCTTGCATTCCTTTTCTGCTGATTTTTTTTATATTAATGGTTTTTATTAGATATCAACAAAGCTTTTTTGCCCCAACATAAAGATGTCCTACTTACTGTTTGCTAAGAATTTATCCTCACATTCTTATTGCTATCTTGTCAAAAATCACCAACTTTTCTTAAAATTGACAATGTCTGAATTTCAGTAAGGAACCATCAACACTGTCCTAACAGAATCATACACTAGAGATGTATACACAGCAGCAAAGCATGATTCTATTTTGGATGCATGATAACTGTATTTTGGGACCATCAAGATTTTGAGCAATAGAATGGGAAGAAAGCTTTGCAAAACAGGCTACTTGGGTGAACTCAATATTTAAATTTTTATTATTAAAAAAGTATAATTACAAAATAACCTACAATGGTAGAAAATATGGACAGGCAAATAAATTACAGTGTTTATTACAGTGTTATGTGCATCAGTAGCAGCCAGTTCTGCAAACATAGGGGAATGCAATACTGATATCATCAAACTTTTCTTCTGGAGCAGAATAGAAAACTTGTTGATTGATTGATTGATTTCATGTAATTTCTATAGCTGCCCCTCTGAGCAAACGACTCTGGACAGCTCATAATTCAAAAATATATTACAATTAAAATATTTAAAACATTTTAAAACAGTGAAACCCATTAAAACACTTAAAAACATCTAATTCCAGGACGTACAGAGCAAATGTGCACAGTGCTCTCTGAGGAAGTTTGGTTAAGAATAGCACTGCATCCATCCAAGCATTCCTTTTCAACTCTTTCATCATTCTCTTCATTCATTGCAAATAAAATAATAAACAGAAGGGGGGGGGGAATAAAGCAGAAAATAAACAGAGCAGTACACCAAGAACAAAGTGACTATCTGACATGAACAAGATGATTATTGATAAAATATGAGCAACAAACGAAGAATACATTTTATTCCATATAAATAGTCCTCTCAGTTATACTATTTGAAGTTTGTAAGGAAATAAAATATTAGCTATATTGATTTTTAAATTAAAAAACAGCATTACCCTACAGGCCAGAAGACTGAACATTATAACTGTCTGCAGTTAATCGAGGAATAAGAATTTCCATTCTCTACAGGAAGTATTTTATAACTGGTATCCCTCTAGCTCAGGATATCAAACTCAAGGCCAGGGGGCCAGAACAGGCCTGTAGGGTGCTTAGATCTGGCCCGCAGGGCCACCCTGGAAACAACAAAGGATTGGCCAGCGGGGCCTCTGCCAGTGAAAACGGAGCTTGGGAAGGCCACACACAGTCCTCCCGAGCTCTGTTTTCACTGGCAGAGGGTTGCAGGAGGCAATCACAGCAAAAACAGAGCTCGTGAAGGCCATGTACAGCTCTCCCAAGCTCCATTTTCGATGGCAGAGAGTTGCAGGAGGCCATTGCAGCCAAAAATGGAGCTCGGGAACCCATTTTTGGTGGCAGAGCACTTGGGCCACCACAGATGCCCCCGACACGAGTGATGTTGAACTGACCACACCCATTATGGCCATGCCCCCCCAGTCCCTTCAAGGTCAAACCCAGACATGGCCCTCAATGAAACTGAATTTGACACCCCTGCTCCAGCTACTGTGCCATCCTATTCATATTCTTATGTAAAAATTCAGATTATCATTCCTGGTCTTTGTTTTACTCTTAATTTATGAATTATTGATGATAATAATAATAAAGAGAACTAGTTCCAAAGAATTTTACCTACAGCCTCAGGAACATACTGAAAGAAAATGATGGGTTAGATTACAAATAATAGAGGGCTGTTATTAAGATGAATGAATAAGAACTGTCAAATAATTGGAAATATAGCATTATTATAAAACTTAATAAGGACAATTGGCAAAAGTTAATACAAGGCGCTAGCCTGTGAGAATGAACCTTCTGTCTTTTCTTTTGATGTAAAAAATGCTGGAGAGAAGAAAAAAATCCATACAGATCAGCTTCATAAATGCCGCCTAGATGGTTCCTATGAGGTTATTTTAGACTAAAACTAATAAAAGATTTAAATTGCAAAATGTTTTTAATATGTAAACAAATCAGGAAATTAAATTAATTTAAATTCAATTCAATTCAGGAAGTTTAAACAAACAAATTGAACAATCCAGTTGTCCTTCTTTGTCAATGGAAGGATATGTAGATTTGCTTACAAGTTTATAATCAGGCAAACCACTGTTCTTGAGTTTCTTAAGATGCTAAACATTTCCTGCAGGCAATCAGTTCCAAGCAGTAACCAATAAATGAAACCACATGGATAATGTACTCTATACCAGTCCCTGAATCTGCAAAAAGTAAAATAAAAAAATGCCAGCATAAAATTTGTATCTCTATCTGCTTTAGTATGGAGGCTAGTGAGTGAGAAAAAAACAGAATCCCTTACTATAATGTGGTGTAAAGTGGGTTGAATAAATATATTAAATTCTAGAATGGAAATGTCTCACACTGAGATGTTCTGTGGAAATTATTACCATAGAAAGAGCCAGAGCAGAGGAGATAACAAACCAAGAGCTATAATCGATTTGTCTATGGAAAATATGCAGCCAATTAGTATAACAAGACAAAATCTAGTTGAAGAAATGTGAATTTCCCTATAGAAATTGCTTGAGAGGGCTAATTTAAGTTCTTAATGTATGACCAAGGAGTTTACATGGAACAAAATTAAAAAAAAATGTGAATTTAATGCTAAAATCTATATAGCAACTCAAGAACATGGAAGAGGAAATTACAGTAGAGAGAGCCATGTTGCTGCTAGAATGCAACTTCATGCTGGAGTATGTGTCAGTCAAGCTGATTGATGAATATCATCACCACAGCAGGGAGAATGTAGGCAAGGAGTCAAAATGAGATAGTTCTCAAGCACCAGGGAGGAACAGATTGAAAGAGGCCCTGCTCTGTTTTCACAGCAACAAAGCAGGGCAGCTAGAGAATGACTGCTCACTCTGGTAAATTGAGGATCACAAGAGGGGAACTGCTGTAATGAAAGAGGTAGTGAAAGCTACAGCTAGTAAGTCACAGTGGGAATGCTTCAAAGCAGTCAAGGTAGACAGTGAATCCAAGGGTACACAGATTCTAAGGCCAGTGGAAAAATAAAGCAAAAAGAAAGATTTTTTTTCAGGCTCTGTTTTCGCCAGCAGAGGGCTCTAGGAGGCTGTCACGGCCAAAAACAGAGCCTGGGCAGGCCGGAAGTGGGCTCCACACGCTCTGTTTTCACTGGCAGAGGAATGCAAGAGGCCATCATGGCCGAAAATGGAGCCCTGGAGGGCGTCTGGCCCTCCTAAACTCCATTTTCACTGGCAGAGGCACCATGGGCCGGTCCTTTGCTATTTCTAGGGAGGGCCTGCAGGCCAGATCTAAGCACCCTGTGGCCACATCTGGCCCATGGGCCTTGAGTTTGATACTCCCGTTCTAGACATATAGAAAGCAATGTAATAGATTTTTCTTCCCCTATTCTCTCTAGTGACTTTCTGCTATTCTGCTCCACCACAACGAAACTGGACATAATATCTTTCTATGTAATTCATGAACCAAATAAAGATATGTATTTCTTATCTTGGAAAATCTGAATTCATCTAGATTCGTTTTTGCTAATGGAAAGCAACAGTTAAAGAAAAGGCAAATATAACATTATGAGGAAACAACAGAAAAATCGGCTGCAGCATGTTTGTACTATGGATAAGGAGTCATAAGGATTGAGTTCATTGATGCCCATCTCCTTATACTTTAGCCATGCTCATGTTTCAAGTCAAATTATATTATTTAAGGTGCTAAAAGAGCCCATGGTTACTATACCATATGGTATGCTATGGTATATAAGTACCGTGTTTCTCATATAATAAGGCTGGATCTTATTTATTTATTTTTTTGAGCCCTGAAAAAATGGCTAGGCCGTCTTTTCGGGGGTGACTTAATTCCCCCCCTTGCATCTTTGGGTGGGCGGGCGGCGACGGCTTGGATGTTGACCTCGGCGTTGGTGGGGCACTTCGTATCGGGGTCAACACAGGCAGCACTATATCCAGGTGTGCAACAAAAGTACTTCCTAATGGCAAGCCCCCACCACCACCATTTCGTATGTTTTAATATAAGCCTTAATTTGGGGGGAGGGGCTTAATTTCATTTCATGCCTATAAAACATGCTGGGACTTCCTATTGGGGGAGGCTGTATTGTTGGAGAAACAGGGTATTAACTACATATACTATAAAGTTACTATAAACATCAGTCTCGCAATAACATAATCATTTCCCCTCCATTTTAGAATGTTAAACCAGGCAGTTTATATAGGTTAAATTAAGATTTCAGAGAATCTGTTTTTTTTAAATGTCTTGTCTAAATCATCCAAAGCAGAGAAACAACACTAAACAAACTTATAAATCATATATTTTTTCAAAAAAACCCAGATGAATGGGGACAAATAAACTTATTTAACACATACTCTTCCTCTTTTTCTCTCCCCCCTGTTTTTTTCCTATAGGGCTAAGTATTTTCAAGGAAAGAAGGTGAATGGGGAATTTGAGATCCGAGTGGAACAGGTCAGTGAGGGGAAAAACCCATTCTCAAAAAGCAGTGCAGGCATTTCATTCACTCCTGGCTTTGCAGGTGTCAGTTAGGAAGAGATTTTTATCTGAAAGGATACTTTGGAGCTTGCTTACCTCAGATTTAATTGACTTTTCTGTTATGGTAGAGTACAGAGTGTACTGCCACACACCTACTTAACCATGCTGGAGAATGTTATACTTTTGTTTGATGCTGAGTGGAAATGCTATCTTACTCAGAAAAACAAGTTGTTGTTCCTATTAGAAAAACTACTCTGTTCTGAAGGGGGAAAAGTACAATGTTTTATAAGTGAAATGTCCAAACAATTAAACTTTGTGGAAAATAATTTAATATTGCTTCAAAATATTCTGGGAGAAAATTGTTAATACTATCACTACTACCTAACTTCTATCTTCCCAGCATGGCTAGCTTATAATTCGTTTTTGTTTTACTTCATCTCTGATGTGCCAAACCTCACACTGTTGACGTAAAACAGGTCAGGCTTTATTTCTGACTTTTTGCTATGAAAAAAGGTTTTTTAAAAGCTATCTTTTTCCTCCCAATAGCACAGAACCTAAGGCTAACTGATTTGGTGATTCTGGGAGTTGAAATCCGCACATCTCTAATTTGACATGGTTAAGAAACACGGTGTCAACTAAAAAATATACTTCTTTGGTCTTTTTAGTTGCTAGCAGAAAGGGAGTTGGGAAAGTAGGGCACTCCTCAAATGCTTCAGATAATTGCTCTGACAGCCGAAGCTGTTGGTGAGGAAGATTATTACTGGAGAGCATGATTGATGATTCTTGGCTATGGATGTGTCCCATTGGAGAATATACATCCAGAAGGTGGGGGAAGACCAGGGTCAAAGGTGAAATGAATGATGTGTCTTAGTGTTGGCTACATCCAGGTAACGCTGACATGGTCCCGCCTAATAAATCATTTTTTTTACTCTGAGAGATGCGGTTAGAGACTTACGATTTGAATGGGGGTGTATTGTCGGAGCCCTGACACATGGGTCCTTGGTGTCATGTGCTTTCTTTTGTAGTCCAAATTGGGTAACTCTTCTTCACCATTCTACAAGATATTTTAGTCTACACAAATGTATTAAATAATGCATAATGATAGTGCATTCTACAAGCCTAGCGAGAGAAAAGGCCTAGCCTTTTGTCCTGTCTATTCCACAGTTCTCAGGTTCGATGAATTTGCTATTTGTATAAGTAAACTATAGATTTGTTCTAAAACAACCTTTCCTGATCTGGTGGGCTTATGGGATGTGGATTAAGGTTCTTGAAGTACAACTGAACTGGAGGAACCTATTTGGAATTAGTCTAGCCTGCAGTCATTTTGCAATGTTGTTTCTTATGGTCAGGCATGAAAAAAGGTTATTTTTGAATGATTACATAATGCAATGTACTGCCCAGATTCACTACGCTCTAAAGTTGTTCAATGTTTTCAAATGGAATTCTCTCAAAATATAATGAAAATTTTGGCCAATACCACAAACACAAAACTTTGTTAAGTTTATAGCTGGTCAGTGAAGCCAGATTTCAAAAATAAACCCAGATGTGATGTTTCAAGTCCTATTTAAAGATTTTTCCTGTTGGATATGATGATGATGATGAAGATGATAGTGATGGTGATGATGTTGATGGTTGCAGTAAACCTAATTCAGTGTCCACTTATTAGACTATAAACACTTCTTGAGTGTTTCCTGTGCAAAACAGCACTAATTAGACATGCCGCTGCTGTGGAAATCTTGAGGCAAACATTCCATTTCAAAGAGAATTTTGCAAATAGGTCACTCTATTCTGTGTGTTTTGTTATCAAGTAACCCTGTGTTCTTTTATTCTTCCACTTCAGGCAGAGTTTTCAGAACTCAACTTGGCTGCCTATTCAACTGCTGGCTGTATGGTAGACATGCAGGTCATCAGGAATGGCACAAAAGTGGTCAGGTGACAAATATTAGAGTTTTTGTTTCCTTCCAATTAACTTCTTTGTCCTTGCTGTTTTTTTAAACAAATGTGTGTTTCTCAAGTTCTGTCAATAAAGAATAGATAGTTGCAAACAACTTGCTATGGCCTTTAGCAGTAGAAAAAAGATCAGTCCAGTTTGTGGTGTGTTGATTGTTAAAAGGGACTCCCCCCCCCCCCCCAGAAACAGTTTCATTTGTTCAGATCTTGGAAAATGAGTACAATTGTTGTGAAACAAGTGTCACAACCATGCTGGTAAGAAATCCCATCCCATATATAATTATATAATCCCAAATGCTGATTAGGACATGTGTATCTTTTTGGATTATAAAATATAAATAAATGTACTTTGTATTAGAAAAGTAGGCTGGTGTCTTGCTTTTATAAGCCAGAAAGTATTGTTGAAATATGATTATGTCACATAATTACAGCTAGTAATTGAGTCCAACATTTATGTTGTTAAGTGAGATATTTGTTCAATGCATTTTGCCCCATTTTACAACCTTTCTTGACACAGTTTTTAAGTGAATCACTGCAGTTGTTAAGTTAGTAACATGGTGGTTAAGTGAATCTGGCTTCCCCATTGATTTTGCTTGTCAGAAAATCACAAAAAGTTATCATATGACCTTGAGGTACAGCAATGGTCATAAATATGAACCAGTTACCAAGCACCTGAATTTTGATCACATGATCATGGGGAATGCTGCAAAGATTGCAATTGTGAAAAAGGGTCATGTCACTTTCTTCAGTGCCATTGTAACTTTGAACAATCACTAACCAAACTGTTGTAAATCGAGGACTATCCATATTTCATTTGCAATTAATATAACTAAAATGTCAGGACATATCATCTTGGAAAAAAGCTATGTGGTAGCTAAGAGTGGATTCTGACCTGATGGACCTGACCTGATCGTATTTAATCAAACAAAAACAGGTTGAAAGAAGAGAGAATTAAAGCAAGTCTTTCTTTTCCCACACTGACCAATGTCTAAGCTTTGGTTGTTGATGTTAATTTTGCATTCTTGGTTGATCTGCTCAAGTCTAAGCCCCTAACAGTAGTGAAGCAGCTTTTTTTGCAAGCTAAGTGCTATTATGCTTAAATTACTTGATTTGGAAGCTAAGCAGAGTTGAATTTAGTTACTGCTTAGACAGAAAATGACCAGGAAACACTAGATATGTAGATATAGCAGGAACTTTTTAAAAACACAAACATCCTGGAATAGTAATCGACTAGTGTTTCCAAGAAACCAACATGGTGTCTATGTAATTCCTCAAGAATCAAGCTAATTTTGAGGGCATTTTACCTTTTCTTTACTCCTTGGATAAGAAAGAGTTGTTTTGTACATTTATGACTGTGATCATTACAACTGAGCTGAAAGCAATCTTTCTGTTCATGTGTTAATTTCCATGTATGCTACAAGCCTCCTAGCATCACTTTGTAGTGTTAGATGGGCAGCACATAAATTTGATGAATAAATAAATAAAAATAAATAAATAGCACCTCCTACCAACAATTGTTTGTGCACTATTTTTCTTAGTCATATTTTCTTTCTTTTTGTATTCTCATATTCTCTAGCTTTGTGTACCTATGTGCCCACTACTCCTGCTGATTTTGATGATATACCTTATTTTTCGCTCCATAAGGTGCACCTGACCATAATACACACCTAGGTTTCGAGGAGGAAAAGATGAAAAAAAATATGAATATGGAGCACTGTCTCACTGTGAATATGGAGCACCAAATATGGAGTAGCAGTGTAGTGAGGGCAGGAGGCAGAGCCTGAGAGGACCACAGATAGGTGTCCTCTTATGTGCCAGCTCTGTTGACTCCTGCACTGTGGAAAAAAGACAGAAGAGGTGGGGTTCAGCACTGTAAAAGGACCACACCTCTGTAGCCTGGCTGCTATTCACCATATTTTCTCCATAAGATGCACAGACATTTCCACCCACTTTTGCAGAGGGGAATGCATTTTATGCAGCGAAAAATACAGTAAATGCCATTATACTGTGGATTTGACTTCAAGATCTCACAGAAGAGGAAATTCTGATCGGTCACCATAGCCAACTAGATAATCATATAGTACAGTATATTGCAGAATGTAGATAATACTAAGAAACCACAAGGGAGAAATATATGCTGATTAAAGAAATAGGCAAAGAGCTCATCCGCATAGCTAAGTATTACCATACTTTCCTCCCATCCTAGAACTAAGAGGAAATCCTGACCTTAGATTTTCAGATTAATACATTATGCCAATGATGGCACATGGTCATCATAACAAAATGCCTTATTGGAGTTTCGTTTTGCATGTTTTCCCATTGCTCCAGCTTAAATTATGAATAAGAATGACAGTGTCATGTTTCAGTTTGATCATCTTCCATTCTCTATTGTGTCTTCCCCATTTGTTTCTAGGCTTCCTGTTTGCCACAATTTTCTCTCTCACTGCCTCATAATCTTAATGATTTACTGAGTTAAGACCCATGTCTTTATTTTACAGTGAAGATTGCTAATTTCAATTTGATGAATATTTTCAAGATCCAGAATTTTCTCAGGGAGAAGACCATGGCTGTTCCAATGTGTGCTTTAGTTGTGTCTTCCCAATATCTTTTTACAAACCCTGAGGTTAATCTAGTCTTACCGATTGACTGGACCGTCCTGTTTTCTCATATTTCATTATACTCCAAAGTTCTTCAGTTTTTCAAGCCAAAGCCCAATTTGAAGCTCTGATGCTTTAATTCATAGTTCTCCAGACATAATCAAAAGTATCTGTCTGTATTTCTCCCTCCTGCTCATTATAAAAGTCCTTCTTTTGATTGTAACTTCCAGGACACAGTTTCACGTTCTGGGGTTCAGGCACCTGGCCTTGGAACTCTGGAATCAGTTCCTTCCTTTCCTTTGTCTCTATGAAAGAAGTCTGATTTGGCAGATTACTGCAAACATTCAGCATTTGGTCAAAACAGTGGTGATTTAGTCCCTGGGACACTCAATACATCTGTCTTAGGTTACTACCCTTGAAGTAATGTGGTAGACATTAGACATGGGTAAAGGTAGATAGGAGAGATGTTTGGCAGTGTCAGTATAAAAATGTACTTCTAATGAACCCTTTAGAAAGACTCCTTATTTCTCCTTCTCTCTTCTCTAATTTATTATTCCTTTCTCATAGTATTCAGCTTAATCTCCATGAATCTGTCCAGTGCTTAATCCCTGACCTCTTGCTGTTCATACAAACCATGTCCAATTCATAATTCCAAGCAAATGAAAAGTTGCCCCAAATCAGTAGAAAGTACAGAACCATCAGTATAATAGTTTCTAAATCTGAACAGATAGTGGTAATAAATAAATGTGACAAATACAATCAAGTTGATTGGTCTAAGGCAGGGGTGTCAAACTCACGTCACGGTGGCGGCACATGACATATCGGGACTTTTTTCCTCCTTCGCTAAACTGGGTGTGGACGTGGCCAGCATGTGGCACATCCAGCTTGTGGGCCAGTTTAAAGTATTGTCCTGTATCATGTTTTTGAGTAAGAATGAACACACACACACACACATCTACCCAGAAAGAAAATCAGCTGTACAGCATAGAAGAGCAATAACATACATCCAATAAAGAGCAATAAAACATAAGATTGAAAACAAAACTAATGGGTAACCATGGTAAAAGGTCAATAGTCTTTAACTGTCACCAGAAAGACATTCATATTGCTTTCAGATGAATCTCCTTGATGAGGACATTCTATTTCAAGTGACAGATTAAAAGACATTTCTCCAGATGGCACTCATTATTTCAGAAGAAAATGATCATGGACCCCAAAGGAGAATAAGCTAAAAAAATAAAAGTACTTATGATGGTCTAGAAGTGATCTGTATGAGTGCCAGAAAACTTTTATAGCCTTCCTATAAAATGTATCTGTACCAAATATTTGAAAGACTGGACTAATCATATCTCAGATGTGCAAACTAAAATTTCATTAGTGTTTTAAAATCAGGCCACAGGTATAATAAACCAGGTGTGTAAAAGAGTTTTGAAGGTGACATTTTGGTCAAAGAATTCTACTTAGTCACACACTGACTTTCTTTATGTGTTGGTTTGAAAGGTTTTCAGATCATGTTAGCTAAATTGTGATAAAAAAAATTATGAATACATTTATTATAATATATTCAGTAGAATCAATTACTTAGGATAATTAATCTGAAGAAACCTTTGAGGGATTCTTTGGGTCTTCAAGAGAAAATAGATTAAATATAAGAGTAATTATTATTCTGAAAGTACAGCTGCTTAAATGGGAGAACTGAGTCAGCCTGATAAAGTAATGCCAGCTAGTAAGGAGCAAATTAGAGTTACGAGGATGCTAGTAGCAGGGTGGAATAATTTGATGCTGTATGTCTGAATTTCAACCCTTTTGCCTAACAGCATTTATTCTTTATCCTAGTTATTGAGTAACAATCACTTGTCTGTCACTATAATGGAGAGGGCAGAGGTTGTTCTGTTTCCTTGATATAATCATACTCATTCTTTAATTAAAACTGACTTGTCCCATTGATTCTTGTTGTCAGTCTAATTGGGGATCTTGCCAAGGTTGACCTGTTGCACTATAATTCCAGATTAGCTGTAACCATTTAAAGTCTACATTTTTGTGCTTTTTAATACAAAGATTCCCACATCACCTTCTTGTTCTTGTTTTATTGGTTTCTTCTTGTTTTTATACCCTTCTAAACAGAACTCTACCAAACATGCTTAATAAACTAATTCCAAGGTAGTTTTATATTCCTTTTGCCAATTTTCCATTTGTATAAGAAAAAAATACCATGTTTCCAGTTGTTAGGGTCAGATATAGTCTTTCTAGTCTTGTCAAACAAGTTTCACAGTCACTCTATATTTTAGGATTCCTTCAGCCTTATTTCAGCCCGACCACTTTTCAACATTTTCACAGCATTAATTACTTCCTTTTCATCCATTTTTCTTGGATGCTAAGAACTATAGCATTTATTTGAATTCTACTCATTAATGTATCATTATTTAAATACAACTCTCTGAAATTCCCATTCCAGTATTCCCTCACTTCAGTTTCTTTCAGAATCATGTCATCACTTTTATGTTTAGTTCATTTCATTTCAGTGGAAGTTCCTTTTTTAGTTCTTTTCAATCACTTCCAGTTTTTAATTTCCATCATCAAAATCACACTGCATTTAGATGCCTCTTTTAGTCTTCGCAGGATTGCATTTAAGTTTCTTGCTATTTTTGATTATATTCTTTCAACTATGTTTTTCTCTATGTATATGCATTATAGAATATCCTTTCCTCATATTTGTCTTTTCCACCATTTTTACTTATTAATTCTATGAAGCAGTGTTAATTCTACACAATTCTTTTCTTACTCTTCAAGTAGCTTTTATATCTTCTCTCTTTTCTTTCACTTGCTATTTATCCTTTGGCGGAATGAACATAATATATTTTCATACATGACCTGTATTAAACAGTTATCCATTCTTAACCACCATGACACTAAAATGACTAAAATTACATAACAAGGCAAAGTCCAATTTACTTGGACTTTGCTTTGTTGAATCACAATATCTCTCAAAAATACATAAAGGAGAGATTTTGCATTCTGAGGCATATTTTGTCATTTTTCCAGACCTCTCACACCCAGAATGTACAAGTCTGGAACTTGTACATTCTCTCCTTACCACCATACTATTTTAATTATAATTTCTTAATTATAGAAGTATTTTATGCTTGATTTTTTTTTATCATTCAGTATGGCAGTATTATGTTCAACAAAACTCAGGTGTGAAGAGATTAAAAGAGAAAGCAATGACATAATTCGGTAGAAAATACATAAATAAAGCACGAGCAGCAAAGTATTCGTTTATTGCCTTAAAATAGAGAATGAGCTAAACTGCTGGATAGAACTTCATAATTTGGGCATTGCAGGACAAGAAACAATGGATGGAAACTAATCAAGGAGACAAGCAACCTAGAACTATGGAGATATTTCCTGACAGTGAGAATAATCAAGCAGTGGAACAACTTGCCTTCAGAAGTTGTGGATATTCCAACACTGGAGATTGAATCATTTGTCTAAAATGTTATAACAGGGGTTTGGACTAGGAAACCTCCAAGGTCCCTTCCAACTCTGTTATTCTGCTACTTAAAATACTTGGCTTCAAGTTCTTGTGTGGTACACTTCTTAAGATGGCTTCTTATATAATAATGACATAGGGCAGGGATATTGTTTATTTTTTCTATCCTAAATGTTATAAATCTAAAAACAACAATCTCTTAGAATAGAATTCTTTATTGGCCAAGTGTGATTGGACACACAAGGAATTTGCCTTTGGTGCATAAGCTCTCAGTGTACATAAAAGATATAAGTGATAAATCATGATCATAATCATCATAAATACATTCATCATGAATCATATGATACAACACCTAGTGATAGTCATAGGAAACTAAATAAGCAATAAAAAATAAGCAATCTTGAATTGACCCTGGAAATAAATTAAAAAGTATATTGCCTAAGACAAGAATGGAAGACTTTAGGATGCTTGGGAGTTGTACTTTACACATTTTTAGGGACACAGTGTTTCAGTGGCAAAGATGCTGAGCTTGTTGATCAGAAAGGTTGGCAGTTTGGTGGTTCAAATCCCTAGCACCACGTAACAGGGTGAGCTCCTGTTACTTCTATTAGCTCCTGACAACCTAGCAGTTCAAAAGCATGTAAAAATGCAATTAGAAAAATAGAGACCACTTTGGTGGGAAGGTTACAGCATTCCGTGTATCTTCAGCATTTAGTCATGCCAGCCACATGACCACAGAGACGTCTTTGGACAGCGTTGGCTCTTCGGCTTTGTACGGAGATGAGCACCGGCCCCTAAAGCCGGAAATGATTAGCACGTATGTGCAAAGGGAACCTTTACCTTTAGGAAGTCCAGTCAGGGACAAGGATTCTTAGTTCTAAATAAACCCCATCTTTGAAACCAGTCTGTTACCTTGGGAAATATTTTGCCTAAAAAGTTTTTTTCTGTGTTTTCATTTCTTCACATAAATGTTAAGCCTTTTTGCAGATATCATTATAAATCTCATGTTGTGAAGAGAAACAGAAAAGCTGAACAATCTCCGCAGGTAGCTGTGGTCATTGGTTTTCCCCCCTCAAATTTGTTTGAGAAGGCCAAGAATGCCACAGCAATTTATACCTTGTCACAATTTTGTACCTAATTGTTTATTCTTCCTGGAAAAATAGTCCGATAATCACTATTTAAGAAAATCTGATTCCAATACAGCACTTTGTCACTCAAAAATCTCAACTAAGACATAACCAGCCTTTAACTATAATAGACAAATGAGGATTCCTTGGGAGCAGAAATTGGTTTTGTATGTGTAAAATGGTCTTCCTCCTTTATTTATTATATTCTCATTTTACTTCCCTTGTTATGGAGAATTTGGCAAATTTGGCCCAATTTCCAATGAGCAATAAGCCAAATGAAATTCCTGTATGTTATTTCTGTGCTCTGTCTAGACAGGGGAGATGAACCAGACTTGTAAAAACACCACATAGGCAAGTCTTGCTTTTATAAAATTACCAAGGTTATAATGGCTTGTTAGTTACTTGGTTACCTATTAAGTTAACTGCTTCCTTTCCTTTAGAATATCAAAGCAGCACATACTGTAAAGTGGCATTAATTTTAGATACTTTCATGGAGTACAGTGTTAAAATAGACTACAATTACATTTTTCTCTGTTACATAAAGTTGACTAATAAGGAGACAACACTATCTATGATTCCATAGGTTTCTTGCCATGAAAAAATGTGCCTAAAATTTAAATTTAAAAAGGCCATTAATATACATCCAACAAAATTAAATGCTATCTCTGCCTTGTTAAAAGTAATCTCTGAATAAGGAATAGCTGAAACTGTAGAAGCGTTCAGGAAAAAATACAGTCAAAATGTCAAAATGTATCCATTTGCAAGGAAAGGAAATTAGAAAATGAAAAAATCAAATGAAGACCTTCTAAAGATGTCTCACGTAAACGTATTCTTTGGGTTTTTTTCTCCTAGATCTTTCAAGCCTGATTTTGTTCTCATCCGTCAGCACGCTTACAGTATGGCCTTAGGAGAAGACTTTCGCAGCCTTATCATTGGCCTCCAATATGGTGGGGTCCACAGTGTCAATTCACTTTTCTCTATCTACAATTTCTGCAGCAAACCTTGGGTGGTAGGTGATTTCTTTAAATATCCTCACATAAAATAAAAAGGGAGTTCTTTAGGTATGCAAAGGAATTTGAAAGTCAACTTTTAGTGCAAAATATTTTTAAAAAACTTAAATCAAATTCTTTATCTTTACCAGTAATGAAGATTTCAATAAATAATACAGTTATACGATTTCTCAGCTGTTTAATCCATCTCAACACAAAATGTCGCATTTCATCAGATCTAGAAAATCCCTTTCTTCATCTTTAATAACATTGTCTATCCTGAAAGGGAATAATGTATAGCTGGGAATTAAGTCAAAAATATTTTTAGGGTATGTTTTGTTTTGCTTTTTTTGGAAAGCTCTATTTTGAGGTTCTTTTTTAATTCTGGGAAATTCTAAATTGCTACCTCTATCACCCTATCTCAGGTTGTTTTCTTTACTAAAGAAAGCAGCTAAAGAACTGTCATCATAATAGTTTAAAAACTATAGAAATACACAGTAGTTAAGTTATTTCTGCATGAATTCATTTTATTGGAAACATATAGTATTCAAATTCCTTGTCAAAGAAAGGCATTGCATAAAATCTGCAGAGAAAGAGGAAGATGACCTTGAGGAAGATATGCAAGCTCTGTTACTAAAGCAACAAAGGGTAAAACATATTATAAATCCACAAGAACAGAAAATATGCAGAAGAGGCCCAGGCAGATGTTTTCCTAATTCACAGGAGTATAAAAAGGTGGAGAAAGTACAACACAATCACATTTTCGGATTCCACTATTATAGCCACTCTCATTAAAAATAATTCATATGTACACAGAAAGGGTCTTTGTATGTGTGAAGGGCAGTAGAGGGATTCATTTTTTTTTACTACCGGTTCTGTGGGCATGGCTTGTTGGGCATGGCAGGGGAAGAACACAGTAAAATTTCCAGTAAGAGGTGGTATTTGCCAGTTTTCCGAACTACTCAAAATTTCTGCTACCGGTTCTCCAGAACTGGTCAGAACCTGCTGAATATCACCTCTGGTGAAGGGTATATTTTTAAAGAGGTAGGATTAGGACATATATCTGTATTTATTCCTCCTGTTTTTCACTCTGTTTGATGGGTCTCTATAAGTCATCTAAGTCACGGGTGTCAAATTCGCCATGTCACATTGCCGTCACATGACATATCACAACGTTTTCATTTCACAGAGCTTGGGTGGGCATGGCCTGCACATGACATATCTGCCCTACAGAACGCCAGTTTGACAGTCCTAATCTAAGTCATCCAAGAGAGCCTAAACACCATAATCACTGAGTTGAACATCACCTGACTGAGATGTGCTGACAACCTCACTCCCCCTTTTGTTGTTAAACAAATCACTGTGGTTGTTAAGTAAAACATCACATGACCAAGATTTATGGTTTTACTTCTGCCTTCTCTATTAACTCTGTTTGTTGCAAGCCAATTGCAAAGCACACAAGTGGCAATCATGTGACCATGGGCTGCTGCACATGTATGGGCCATTGAGGAATGAGACATTCAGAGGCTCTGAAACCTAACACTCTTCATCTAATTCCTTGGATTCAAGATCTGAGTAGTGGTGCAGTGGTTAGAATGCAGTATTGCATGCTAATTCTGCTGACCGCTGAATGCCAGCAGTTTGGCTCGATCTTGACCAGCTCGAGGTTGATTCAGTTTTCCCTCTTTCTGAGGTCAGTAAAATAAGGACCCAGATAATTGAGGGCAATATGCTGATTCTGTAAACCACTTAGAGAGGGCTGTAAAGCACTGTGAAGCTATATATAAGTCTAAGTGCTATTGCTATCTCATTACTTTTACTTGTATTATTCAGTTGTATGCTGGGACAGATACACTGAGCCTGTATTTCAATTTATTTTATTTTATTTATTCCATTAATTTAACTAATCAAATTCAATTTGATTCAATCCTTATCTTGCCCACTTTACATAGGGTGGCCTTGGCATATCTAAGACCATGTGCAATTGCTTATGCCACTCACCCATCCAGATTGAACACTCTTGCTTTCTCTATATATTTTAAACAAATTCAGAGCAGAGATATAAACATATATAATTGCAGAGGTCATCTGTCAAGACTCCAATGAATGAAACCAAGCAAATCAGAACTCTGAGACTAGAATCCTCCTCAGAGATCTTCTTTATAACGGATTGGCACTCCTTCCCCAACTTTATCCATTGCTAGTAGAGATGACCTTGGTTCCCATGAGAAAGCTCTCTGTTGTGTCTAGTGAGGCATTCCAACCTCCTTCCCCACTTCTCCCTCTGTGTGGCAACTGAGGAACAGAAAAATGGCTGCTGCCAGGTTTGATTCAAAGTTGACATCATCTTTGCATTGGCATGCACACATACACGTTATGTATGTATGTGTTACAAAACTGAAATTTACAGATTATAAAATTAAATGCTGCATATTGTAATTCTACTAACCAGATATGCAAACATGGGACTCAGAACCTAGAAGATTGAAGAAAGATTTGTTCAAATTAGTGTCAGTGTTTCTATGTCAGAAAATAAAGCAATGATCACTAAAATCTTCCTGTGTTAATTTTTAATTTACGTGCTTTTTAAGAACATTTCAATGTTCGTGAATATTGAAGACACAATACTAATTGAATATTTTATTTAAGGCCTGTATCTATACATTAATCCCCAAACTTCTAGATATTTTATCATTTCTGATATATAGACTTGATTTAAACATGAAAAAACAAAACAAAACAGAATAAAACCCCTTCGATACTTCAGTAGGTTGCAATTCCCACTATATGCAATAAATTCTGTTTATTTTCCTTTATTGTATTCTAATTAGGGTAAAAATATTATCTATAAAATACTGAATTCTTTGTTGCACTTCCAATAAAATAATAACCATTAAAGCTTATATAGATCATCACCATGAAATATATTTCGTATCGTCACCCTCTTGTGGGCATATTGTTAATGTGGATAGAATTGATATAGAACATATTGATGAAATTATCATTTATAATAATGTGTTCCTATGAATGAGCAATCATGCAGAAATCTGAACTATTTTAACTCCTTATTTCTCTTTAATTAAGCAAAAATAAGCTACAGAACTGCATATTTGCTAATCTATGTGAATATGGACTTTAGTTGGGAGGAGCTTGCTTTGATTTATATACTGTTTCATTAACATAGATAAAACAAGATTTTTGGCTTTGTTTTGTAATCAGATATTTCAGTTAGTTGTGAGAAGAGCCAGTCACTCACCCTCAGTACTAAAAAAGGAAGCAGTGGCAAACTACTTCTGAAACCTTGCCAAGAAAACTGCAGTGACTTGTTCAGGCAGTCTCCAGAAGTAAACACTGATTTGAAGAGACATGCACACAAAATCTTCTCTGTAATGACACGTGCCATTCCTAAAGATCACTATATAATTTTAAGATATCATTTCTGCATCTCTTTAGGTACATAGAAGATGAGCACTTTAATTTTCCAGCAAGGATAAAGCTCTGTGCAAAATATAATCCAAAATATAGTTAACTTCTTCCCATTATGTACTTGCAACCAGAGGATGATCTGAAGTAAGCGCCTAAGCCAGAGGTGGTATTCAGCAGGTTCTGACCAATTCTGGAGAACCAGTAGCGGAAATTTTGAGTAGTCCGGAGAACTGGCAAATACCACCTCTGACTGGAGATTTTAGAGTACCCTTCCCCTGCCACGCCTGCCAAGCTATGCCCACAGAACTGGTAGTAAAAAAAATTGAATCCCACCACTGGCCTAAACACTGTAGTATGCTAGTCCCCTCAGCATGGACAACTCAAAGGCAGCTATAGTGATATACAGTCGGTAGAGATTTCAGACTGGGATTGGAGAAATAGCAATCATATCATTTGCATAAACAGAAGATGAATGTTAGATGTTTGCTTGTTTAAACACAAAACCTGACATAATTTTTAGATTGTGTTATGTACGTGCAGGCATGTAACCAAAAGGATTTTCAGCAAGCATTATTATTGTTATTAATGTGTAGTTACAGAATGTATGATTGACAACAATCATACATTAACAAATATGTCGGATGAAACATGAGGCATCTGAGGCATAACTCTTCATGTTTATTTGTATTTGATGTTTGTCCATTTTACAATATTGTTCCCAAGTGATTCCTCTTCTTTTTTCCCTCCCTCCCTTCCTCCCTTCCTTTCTAGTTCTCTCAGCTAATTAAGATTGTCAACTCATTGGGTCCAGAGAAGTTTCCTCTTGTAGAACAAACATTCTTCCCAAGCCATAAGCAGATGGTAAGTAACTTGGTTTCTTTGTTTCAGTGGTACAATGTTTTGCAAAGGGAACTGAGATTGCATAAATCACATTCCTACAGAGGCAGAGTCATGCCCCTTCATGGAAATTTTCTTTCCACTTCTTTCTCATCAATAACTTTTATATACTTTCAGGCCTGGTTTATGATAGCCCTAATCTTCCCCAATATTTAGTTTCATTATGGTTGCCAGTGCACACTCTTGATCAACGACTTATTATACTGTAATATAAAACAACACATTTCTCAGTATTATAAGGAAATATTGTTGCTGGCCACTGAGAAGAATGCAAGTGTAATGCAAGGACAGAGGATTATTAGGTTTCCCAGAAGCTTGACTACAATGTTGAACTTATGGATGTGGCAATGCATTGCCATATCTCCTGAATGATATCAGCATGTTATGTGGAACACATTAAATACAGATATTGGTTGTTATGTTGGACTGTAAAGTTCTTATCTGAGCAAATTCAACATTCAATCTGGCACATGTGTGTGTGTGTGTGTGTGTGTGTGTGTGTGTGTGTATACACAGAGAAAGAGACGGTGTGGGGAGCCAGGAAATAAGGAACTAAAGTACAGGATAATTTTATAATATATTTAAGGTTGTAACACTCCTGCAATGTCCATATTACTCACTGAAGCAAATTTGAAAATTGTTACTCACTTGCTCCCTTTGCAAAATTATTTGCAAAGTCCAATTTTCTTTTCTCATTATACAAAAAAAGAGTTCTTTACCAGCATTCCTCAAGTTTTGACCACTTGTTCAAATAGCATTCAAAATTACAACAGCACTTGAATGAGGGACATCTGCAACCAGTTAATGAAATTGCAGCCATTGCCGTACCACTATGGTTACAGGATTGTTAAGTGTCCAGCTCGCAATTATATCACAGTGAACCACATTATAGTCATTTGTGACTTTTCCTGAAAACACAATGGGGAAGCAGTGAGAAGGTCCGAAGTCATTCCCATAGGTTGCTCCCAAGAAGTTGAAAGTTGCCTCTACTTCTTCCACATTTCCCTTCCTATGGTCAGTCAGTGTAGAGAAAAAAATTTCTTTGAAACAATGACCTAACCCTAATACTAATAGTCCAGTATGTTATTTTAAAAGATTGAGAATGTATCAAAATCTTTAAAAGGTTGTTTTGACTCATTCTATACAGAATTAGGCATAATAATCAGCAATATTATGAGAAGCAGCATTTCAACTCGTCTCTTTTGTGTTGACTTTTCATCTCATCTCTTTTGGGGGGGAGGCTGGTAGCCCCCCACTTCGGAGAGACTGCTGGTCTTGGGGGGGACAGGGGACATATATCGGGCTCAACTGCCCAAAGGAAGTTGTGGGAGCACCATCACTTGAGACTTTCAAGCCTCCCATCTGTCAGAAATGGTGTAGGGTCTTCTGCTTGGGCAGGGGGTTGCACTAGATGACCTTACAAGGTCCCTTCCAATTCTGATTATCTGTTATCTCTTATCTGATTGATAGCTATTACCAGTTTGTGCTCAGAATGAATAATAGGCATGGGTAGATAATATTAGTAATATTACATGGTGCAAGAATAGAAGGACCGAGTATTGGAAATACTCAGACTTTATTTAATTTTTCTTACTTTCCCCAGTGGCTTCCACAGAATCCAATTTCATTAAAATAACAAAATAAGAATTGTAACCTCTGCCCCTTTTGTGCACGGATGAGATGTCATGATGAATATACAAGGGAAGCTTGCATAGCAGCAGATCGATGCTTCATTTGGAAATATCTTGACCCTCCCAATTATTTCCTGCTTTCTCCAAATTCTCTTAAATTGACTGTCATGTTCCCTAGATATGAAAGAGCAGGGGTGTCAAACTCAATTCCATTGAGGACCACATCAAGATTGTGTTTGACCTCAGGGGATGGGGTGGGTGTGGCCACTCAACATCACTCACGTCAGGAGTACAGGTGGTTGCCTGAGCACTCTGTTGGTGAAAACAAGCTCCCAGGTGCCGTTTTCAGCTGCAACAGCCTCCTGCAACCCTCTGCCAATGAAAACAGAGCTTGGGAGGGCTGCATATGACCCATTCTCACTGGTAGAGGCACCATGGGCCAGTTCTTTGCTGTTTCCAGAGCGGCCTCATGGGCCAGATCTAAGCACCTTGCGGGCCGAATCCAGCCCCTGGGCCTTAAGTTTGATACCCCTGTGACTGTGATTAACATTGCTATATTTAAGTTTAAAAGAAGTAAATCAAAAATATTAAATAATGTTTTAGTTTAAATCTTCAACAAAAATCTATTGGCTATATTTTAAAAAAAGCATACATTTAAACTTTTTAAAACACTAAAGGGTTGTCAAATCCACCTACATATATTTAGGTGAATTCATATAAAACATAAATATTTTAGAGTCAGGCATTTCTGGGCAACGAAATGTATACCCTTATTCAAGAAGCAAAATATGTTGTTTTCTATTTTTGTCTCAATAAGGAAAATAACATGCAATGAAACAAAAATGTATAAAAATGTTCCTTCCATGGAATTATTTATTTACATTGTTCCAGGACTTCCCTTATTGCTTGAGTCCATTCATAATTTGCCCTCATACTGGGCTATCAATGGTAATGCTGTTAAGCAGGTTTTCCATTTTAAGTATTTAAGTATACAATTTCAGAACACTGGTGCTTGGACTAGACATCGAACCCAGGTGCTGAATTCGGCCTCCTGTAGTCACCAGCAGATTTTAAGATTTTTTTATACCCAAGAAGGCCAGTTCATTCCTTCTGCTCTGCATATTTACAAAGCCAAAACTTTGGATCAAACTCTTTATGGAATTCCCATCTGGATATGAGGCTTCAATGAGTGTATTGAAAGAACCCAGGCTGTCTATTTTCTTAGAAACTTCTGGGTCTTCCTCCTTGTGTTGGCTTTGCTCTGATGTACCTGGAACTGGGCACTCGATCAGTCGAATGTATGGCGTGGATTAACACCTTTAAATGGTGGTTTCGGGTGCTCTTTCTGACAGCTACCTCTCCGTGGCATTTGCTCTCATATTTCTCGTTGGGAGAGGGAGCTGATGAAGAAATTACACTGGCTAGGTTTTATGGGGGATGCCCTGGGAGATTATGGCCTTAAGGATGCCCAATTTAGGGTAGTCCAATGGCTTGTGGACATTGACTTGCAATATCTACGAGTCAGAGCGAACAAAACTTGCTCCCCTCTGATCTTCAGCCAATTTAATAATTACGGACTGAGGATGGCTTCCTATTTTTACACTCTAACCATTCCCAAGTATAGAAGAGCTTCCTCCCTAGCTCGCTTTAATGTCTTGCCCTCAGCACTACTGGATGGGCAATTTAAGAGGCTCCCGATTAATGAGCGGCTATGCCCCTGTGACAGAGCTGAGGTTGAAACTGTGGAGCATGTCCTTTTATATTGCCCTATGTATAACGCAGACAGATCTAAGTTACTGTCTCTCCTTGAAAAAGACCCTTCTAGACCCAATGTTAGTAATTTGTTCTTATATTGTCTAGGGGATGGCTCCTCTTACATCACTTCTCAGGTTTCCAATTTTTTTTTAAGAGCTGTAAGGAGAACCTGTAGAGGAGAACGCTGTAATTCTCCTTAGTCAAGTTTCTGGTGACCAATTGTTCATGATTAATTTTCCCATGTCCTTCTTTTGTTGTACTTGTGTTTTGGTCTGTGACCACAAAAAAGTATTATTATTCTAATTTGCCCTTGTAAATTTCAGGAATACAAATCCGGAAAAATTACATGCTCTTGATTCCATCAGTGCTACATTAGGGAAATGGTTTAATTTAGGATCCATACATCTTTTTAGATTACTGTCAGAGTGGAATTTCACTCTGGGATATACTGTACTAACTAAAGTAACTTTTAAGAACTTGTTTTAAATACCTATAATTTTTCAGGAACTCTGAATAAGGCAAATACCAAAGCTATTTTTTTCCTCTATAGAAACTTTATGTTAGCATCTACAAGAGTGACTAAATAAAAGTTCAAGATGTATTGCTTTGGCCAGGAATATGCAAATATTTTCAACTTGAAAAGTTCCAGCCTTAAAACATTTCGAATGCTTGGAACTGAATAATACTAAGTTTTTGTGTGAGTGTGATCAGAACAAAATACTTGTTTTTAAGTGACACCGGTTTAAATGTTCTGAACACAATGGTTGGGCTGCTCTATGTAGCCTACTTCAGCCTACTGAGCAACAGATACGAATCACAATCTTGCTACTAATGGTTGGGTTGATAAGAAACTGAGTGTGGAGAAAATAGTTATATTCATCCACATTGCCAGATAGAAGACCACTTGCAACAGCATACCTACCAGACATTACTAATGTTGTTTAAAGTTATCTACAGTATTTCATTTTGTAGGTAGGTAATTGCTCATATGCTATTCTATTTCACACAAATAGTGCTAATAATGTGTAAATGGGAAAGCTGGGAATAATTTAGGTTGGTGATTTATTGCGATTTGGTTATTTGTGTGCATGCATTCAACTTAAATATGACAAACATAGATAAAATTTTCCTGTAAAAAAAGACTATCTGATGCATATCAGCAGCGTACTTGCTGCCAACAATATTCAGCTGGATACCTTTTTATAGAGCATAATAAGTTACAACAGAGATGATAGAATATCTGTGGTAAGAAATAAAACACTTTATTGTTTAGAATAAAAGTATACTATAAAAAGTGAACATTATTACCTTAAAAGACAATATACATTCAATGAATATAAAATTTATAAATAACAAAACAAGGAGGAAAACTGTAAACAGTGCTACTAAACTAAGCAAAAAGTACATTCCTTTTGGGAGGAGTTTTCTCCTAGATTGTATTTATTTCCGCTCTAATGTTCATAATTGCTAACAATGGTAATGCAAAAAAACAAAACAATTTTTACACCTTGGTCCTAGGCCTGTTTCTACAAAAAAAAAAAGAGTTGAAATCACTAGGTTTATTATTAAGGTATAAATAGAATTAAATCCTAATTCTGCGGTCATATGCATGCTTTTCCTGAGAATAGCCTCCCTCAAATTTAATGCAACTCCCTTCTGAAGAAAAAAGACATGCTAAGTTGAATCCCTTGCAGATGAGTTCATAACGGGACATTCCAGGTCTTATAATTTCTGGAATCCGTGGAGAGACACCAGTTGACTTTAACAAGAATGGCTCAGGCCCATACATTAAATACAAAACTAACCAATCAGAGCATCTTGCTGATAAATGCACTGGATAAACACACAAGTCAGACTACCATTTCAAATCCCACATTACAGTCTGTATAATAGGAATGATAAAAAGGCCCATCTTTTATTTGTTTCCTTAAAATATTTATATAGCCACCCATCTTGCACCAAACTTTGGATGGCTCACTTTTCTTTTAAAAAATAATACTGTAAAGTAAGTTTCAGCACTGAAAACTTTGACGGCGTCCCAAAAGAAATGTATTTTTTGCTGGGTTTTTCCTCTCTCTCTTTTTGCCTCCTTATTAAAACAAAACCAAGAACCAAGCCACCCTGTAGGAGAGGATTGTTGATTGAGCTACACTCTTCCTCAAATAACTCTTATCTTCTGTGGTATACAATAGAACACTTACATAGATAAATATATTTCATTGGATGGGTATGCTATTTTATTTCTTACAGAGATACATTACAACTTGAATAAGAACACATTTTTTTTTCTTAGCATAAGAGAGATTTTCACTATTTTCTGACTGCAGTATTATGGTGACTCAGGTATGACCTTAATAAGTGAAAATAATCTAGAGCTGCCATTCAGTTGAAAGGAGAAAGCAAATACACTGCTGTCTTCTTGCCTTTAAGATCTGAGCTTAAATCAAGTTTGTCTCTAGAAATGGGGTCAATTCATATTGCTGGCTTTTATGATTTTGGTTGATCGTAATATAAACTAGTCTCTTTTATGGAAACATCTCTGAATCTACTGTTAGCAACATTTACACTATACTTTATAAACATAAAAATACTGTTGTGGAAAATGTAGCAGATACTTTTCTGAAACCATGTGGTTTATGGATCTGCAATGAGGTTGTGATAGATTTCTGTGTTTGTGTGTCCTCATTCCTGCTTAGCCATCTCTTTTGGGTTGTGGAAGCTCTATCGAATAATATTAAGCTCTCTGTTACAAAAACTTATTCGATTAAAGTGAGGAGAAAACAAGGGAATTTTTTCAATTATATTATAGAACCATTTTGAACTTATGGCAGCTCTGTTTTTTAGGAGGAATCAATTGAAAGTAATGTTAAGACAAACTATACCAGCACAAAAGGACAAAGCATGTGCTTGTAGTAAGTGTATTAACCTTTACCCCATTCTACGGTCTCAGTAAATTATGCAGTTGCCAATCCCAATAGAAACTTCGCTCTTAAATTACTTTTAAAATATTTTTATATTACACCTTTTCATAATAGTAATAAAGACTGTAGTGAAAGTGGAATAGCCAGTTCCTTACTTCTAGAAAGCATCGTGATCCCATACCATAGGGCTGTTTAACTGTAGTCAACAGTGGAATACATAATAATCTCCCTAAAAATATTATTTTAGTTAATAGATCTAGTTCTTTTAAGAATTACATTAAAGGCTGGAAAAGTAGGTTTTAATATATTCCCTGCCCATCTTCTCTATTTTCATTGTGCCTACCGATAAACACACTATTAATGAGTAGGAAAATATTATGAAGAAGCAATCTTTCACTGCTGTGCCAATATTCACAGGAGAATAAAGTATTATGACAAGATTTCTATATAACAGAATTTACAAAATACCGCATCATGAAAAACTATGAAAAAAATTAAATGTTTTTCAAAGTACAGGCTGACCCAGTATTCATACAATAGTAAGGCCCTTTTACAACACCATTCTATTGTATATATTTAAGGGAAGGGGATAGGGGATGATGGAAATATTTTAGTCTTAGAACAATTGTTTGCATTGGCCCTTATTTTGATGGCAAGAAAGAAAACAAGCATACAGGGAAGGGAATAAAAACAGATTATTATCACTGCTTTAGAAATTACTGGAACTCCAGTAGCTTTTGAACTAAAAAAAACAAAATAGTAACTAATGACTTGGAATGTGAATGGTTGCTCTTTTGAAACAAAAGCATGAAACATTTTATTACTTATAGCATGAAACAGAATCATGCCCTGTCAAAAATAGCTTATATCATTATATCTATATACATTTTTGTTCAGCAAAAGCAGTGTTTGGGCAGCTGGTTTCTTACATCAATATGTCCCAGGGAAGTTGTTTCTTTCCTCCTGTGCTCCAACTTTGTCCACTCTCCACAAAATTATGGGAAAGTTATGTGTAAAACAAATATTGAAGAAGCAGTTTTACATCCACATCAAAGCCACAATCGGATGTTGATTTGGTTCTCAACAGGTTTGTTCCACATTTGTATTTAGAAAATGTATTAGCTTCATTTTAGTTGATTTTGATTTTTTTAAAAGAAATTTATTTTCTGTGCAAACCTAGATATGCCATGAAATTTCTACATTCATATTGGAATGGACAGGCATTTTGAAGTATGCAATCTTTTAAATTCATGCAAAGGAATTTTCCCAAATACTCCACATTCCATTCTATATAAACGCGATGACTTTCTTTGCATCCCTTCATTATGTGGTGAATATGGTGATTAATCGCAACTGGCTGCTTTCGTAGCTACCTGCTCTGAGAACTGAATGTGAGAATAACACAGCAGCACAGGAAATGAAGAGGAGAGAATAAAATTTTAATCAGAAAGTTTTTGAGATTTGTTTTCCTACAAAAATATATATTGCTATATGTATAGTGCTATAAAAACTTTAAGCAAAAGCTCCCTTGATCATCTGGGAACTTCTGTTCACACACCAGATAAATATTTGATCAACATGGGATGAGAGCAATTTTTAAAAGATAATTTTAAAAAAGAGTTAAGACAGCATAGATTTAAAAATCACAACAGTTCGAAGTGCTAAAAGTTGCAAGAAACAGGCACTAATATCACGGTTGCCATCATGATCAAATATGCGTTAGTGTCCAAAGAATGCTCAGCCACATGGAAGAAAAGGACAGGAAAGAAAGGACAAATGGAATTTCAGGGGTCAGTTGCATTGATGATGGTTTTATCAGGAGGTGCCCATCCTCTATACCAGCTGCAATAGCCATCTTTATGTTTGATGCAAGCATAATGCTTTGACTGGTACCCTGGTTGACCAAAGCTGGAAAGCATGTCTGTCCAGAGGCATTCATTCTTGGAGGTCACAAAGCAAGGAAGATAGTAGCATGGCTTAATCTACAATTACAAAACAAAACAAATGAAAGGTATTGAATTAATCAGACACTTTAAGACTGTATAAACTTTTGTGCTCATACATATCTTCTGAGCCATGGTGGCGTGGTGGTTAGAATGCAGTATTGCAGGCTAATTCTGCTAACTGCCAGCTGTCGGCAGTTTGATTCTCATCAGGACAATGCTGATTCAGCCTTCCATCCTTCTGAGGTCGGCAAAATGAGGACCCGATTGTTGGGGACAATATGCTGACTCTGTAAACCACTTAGAGGGGAATGTAAAACAATGTGGTATATAAGTCTAACTACTATTGCCATCGCTATTCACATATACAAAAAGTAGTATATACCACTAGATTAGTCATGAGGTAAAGAATTATTTCAATCCATTTTTAATCTCATTTTCAATATTTTAAACCATCTGGTGATTTATTTAGTCTAGAAATCCTAATCCTAGTATGAGAGCAACATTATAGGTTCCTGGAGCTTGCAGGCCTAATTTTCCTCCCCAGGTTTTCACCAAGGAGTACAATTCCTTTTTGTTGCCTTTTTGAACCATCCATCCCAAAATATTAATCATGGTATTTTAATATCGTAGTATCTTTTTGGATTGGTTCAGAGGATTGGGAGGTAGAAACAGGGTGTTGTACTGTTCTCATCCTTCATCAGGGGCCAGTTCCATTCAGTTATTGGTCAGTGGCAAAGATATGGCTGTTACAGGCTGTTCCAATTTGAGTCAATCACCTGTGACCAACCCAGATTGGATCCAGCAACATTAACCTGGGGTATATATATTCACCTTCATTCATCATATGGCTTTTACTTTGTGAGGTGTCTCAAGCAGTATTTATTTCCCCATTTCTGCTTGACATCTACATGAAATCACTCGGTGAGATCATCCATTGACACAGGACTAGGCATCACTCAATCTTTGATGCTGGATAGGGTTGCCCTACCTTAAACAGTGAGTAATTTGGCTCACAACAACTACATGAAGAGCAGATGACAGCTATAGCACAAAGGGATATTGACCAACTCCATCTTATGCAACAGTTTTAGGTCAGGAGTACCTGTTTATCCTCAAGTGTGCATTATTCATCTCACAATTAGACTACCTCAGTATGCTCTATAAGTGAGGCCTAGATAACATTCAAAAGCTTCAACTGATCCAGAGAGCAGAAGCATGGTAGTTACTGATATACATCAGCACACACATGTACTTCACAAACTGCAGTATTTACCATTGTACTTCAAGGTGTCAGTTCTTTCTTATAAAGCCCTTCATGGCAGAGGGCCAGGTTACATTCACAACCTTCTATCCCTGATCATTCCTGTAAGATCTGACAAGACAAACATTCTCTTGGTCTCATTATTTGGCAACATCAGCTAGTTGAACCCAGGAGATAAGCCTTTTCTGTGGCTTCCCTTGCCCTTAATACGAGTATCTCCCCAACCGAAATTTGGTTGGACCTGCTCCTATCTTCCTTTTGAAAAGTATTAAAGTGCTTTTTTTTCCTTACTGGCGTTGCATCCAGGAGTGGTATGATCTTAGGTGATTTTTTTCAGACCATTTTATGTGTCAGCATTCCAGTGATGTGTTTCTGTTTGGGATTATGTTAACTATTTGTTTTATTGTATTGTTTTTATTGAGTTGAGTTGTTTATTAATTATGAATGGCACCCTGAACCATGTGTCAAGTATACAATTATATGCCTTGATTAAATAAATAATAAATATTTCAAATGTATCAGGGTGGCAGAGACATCTCTTACCTTGCAGCCACAACCTAGATGGTAACGATGGTTTAGTCCTTTGCGCTGAGACAAGGTCAATCGATCCCACTTTTCATTCAGATTACACAGTCCGGTATAAACCTTTCCATCATAAACTCGACCTACAAAACATAGGCACAAGTTGTCCATTCCAGCGTCATTCATTTGAGAGCTCAAGATAATTTATTAAAGACTGTCCTTTTCTAATGCAAAATTTCCCAACATTTCCAATTATAGTAAGTTTAGAAAGAGCAATTACATAATTTGTCATAAGGAGTATTTTATTGATACAATTCTAATAAAAGTCAATTAATCAGATACATTCATTAAAAACAAAGATATCATCAGCATCAGAGAAAAATAATACTTATGTTGTTAAAAAAAAAGCCCAGGGAAAGAAGATATTTTAACCTGTAATTAAAAGGAGGTTAAAATATGCTGCCTCATTTATTTGGAATGCACTACCAGCTGAGTTGAAAGTCCTAATATTTTCTGGGTTTTTAAAAAGCCTTAAACACAAACCCTTTAAAACAGGTTCTTAATGATATACATTAATTATTTTTAGGATTTCTAGCTTAAAAGTTGACCATGTTAGTGAAAAACAGATTAATGTACGCATGACAATAGACCTCAATATAGTGACTGGAATAAATACTTGTAAATTGTACCCACTAATGCTAGACTTCAGCCTCTAAAAATAGCTGAAACTGATATAGCCTGTAAGCTTGCCATAGTGGAAAATTTGTTATGTTTTACCTGTAATCATATACTGATACTTGTTGACCTCCAACTTGACTCCACAAAGACTTTCAGAGGCCTCAGTGTAGATGTATTGAACATGTGGCATCTTGTCAAAACCTCTGTACATCTACAAAAAAACAGCAAACACACGAGAATGAAATGCTGTGCAACCAAAACAAACAAACTCCCAAACCCATCACTTTTTCAATTATCCAGCTACTTTCTCATCTGCCTTTATATTATGAAGAATGTATATCATTGATGATTCCAGAATCCTGGCCTACAGTTTCCAATATCTCAAGAAGCAGAGCTAAGATAAATGGTTTAGAATTGTAGAGTATACAAATCTTGACTCCATTCAACAACTGTCTGTCACATCTAGCTTTCTGTTGTACTGGAAAAAATGGTAAAGTCTTCAAAAAACAAACAAACCCCCATACCTTGTTTCTTCAAAGGATATAGAATAGCAGACAACTTTTATTAGCCTTGAGCAGAATCTTGTAGAACTTGTTCCATTCTCAGATCTATTTAAAGAACGGGTTTTCACAGGTTCATATTTTTGTTAGAGTAGTCAAGGTGATATTGCTACTCATTGGATCTGTCATTATAGGGTAAAAGTCTACTCAAGGGTAATGGGGAATGTCAACACTGGTTTGTAATGGCCTACAGAACCATCTCTGCTTGCTCACAGCCTTTATACTAAGATGGAAAGATGATAAACAGAATTACTGTTAATAGGAGACAAGCAAGTGGCTATTTTGCTCAGTCACTAAATTACTTTGTGTAATATGTTTCAGGTTTCTACAGTCACTGCCAAAGTCTTTTTTTTTATCCTCATTCTTCTAAAGACATTAAAATAGTCTTATGACTGAGATATAACAGCCAAGAAAAATAAACCAGAGCAGATTTTTAACATTACATAAGAGGTCAGTTAACAAAAGAATGTCCAGAGCAACAGGTTCAAGTGAAGTCTGTTTATTATGCGGAGAGTACAGAAAAGAGCCAACGTGAAGGAGAAGGAGGAAAGTTTTTTTTCTTCAAAATGAGCAAGTCAAATCTAACCAGGCTTCAAAGGTCCTATTATTTCTAAACTACACAAGGAGTTTCATGTAGGTTTCTATCAGACTTGTTGGAAAACAAAAACAAAAAACAAATGGGACACTTGTTAACTCATTCTGACAAAACAATTAAAGAGTTTCGTAGCTTATTTTCTACACAATTTTAGATTCTTTTGTTTGTTATATTGATCAATGCTACAAAAGTCTAAGACAGGTTAAATAATACTATTTCCTCAACATTTATTCTATAAAATCTAATGGTAGGAGGCAGGTTGCATGAAGAAACACTATGCATGAAATAGCTGTCATTTTAATGTTCCTATCCTCAGTAAATGTTGTACTTGCTCCACTAGAAGCTGGTTACTTGCATCAAATGCATAAAGTCAAGCAATAAATTAAGAAAAGATCCCTTGCATTAAACTACAGAAAAGAATATTTGTACCTCAGATTTGAATTGTGGGGTCCTTGGTACTCTCTAACCTTGGTTGTTTTCTTGTAGATTTTTTCATTACCTAACTAGATAACATCATCAGTGCTAGTAGAGGAATGTCTGCAAGAAAACAACCAAACACCAAGAACCCCACCGACTAATATATCTTTTCTTCTGTGCAAAATCTTCCTGCTTTCAGGATGTTGCCTATAACTAATTGGTGAAATTTTCTCAACCTACCAAACCTTTTCCCCTCTCTTTTAATATCACTACTATACTTACCCAATCTGTTGAGTATATGAGTATTAGGAAAACTTTGTTTTGTTTTATTAATTATTTTTTCTTCTAACTCCTAGTGGGAAACCTAAAATGCCTTTTAATATAATTTCTATAATGACTGCAGGGTACATTTAGTTATTAGTTCATTCTATAGACTTAGATGGAGACAGATGAGATTTTGACTGTCCTATCAAGGGTTGAATTTGTGAAGAATATTTCCCTTCAAATGATTAAAAAAAGAAATTAAGCTTCATTTAAATTATTGTATAGAAGGAAGGGGTAAATACATCATATGTATATACACACCTGGTCCATCTGGCAGAGCAGGGTTAGTTAACAATGCTAAATAACAAGAAACTTTAATCTAGCCCCATTTCACCAAAGTCATGATGTTACTTCTCACCTAAGCCAATGTTTTTCCATTGGAATATAATGCAAACAGAAGGAGTTGGAGCAAAAGATCAAACTCCCATACTCTCCTAATATTCCTTTCTATACTCAAATGTTTACGGCAAAAATGTTTGTCTATTTTCATCTAATTTCTGTTATGGAATATGGAATTAGGTGATTACAGTTAAGATTTTGTGCCAAAATCAGTAATTTGTAATCATAAAATTATTGTCTGCTTTTTACTTTTAGGGAGAGATGGATTCCTCCTACTTCTAAGGCTATGGTAGAAAAGACTTATTTTGCTAAACTGTTAATGAGTACAAATTATAAACAATTGTTTCTATACGCCGGAAAAATTAAACATTTGTCAGGTTGGAAGGAATCACTTCACACACATAGCTAGGTATTCCTATGTATATGTAAATTAGCACAACACTGCATAGAGAAAAAATGATAGCTTAGATGTGGGAAATCACCTTTGCCTATTCACAAAATTATCCAAGTCATTCATTATTTGGGATAAGTATGAGCTCAGGGGATTGAATGACTTACCTGATGATCTCTGAAAATGTTTTGTTGTTTTAACTAAATATGATTGGCATCTGTTCACTCACCTTCATTTGTTTGACAGTGTATCGCATTGTCCCAAATGGCCCATCTTTCATAAGTTTCTTGCCAACTACCTTGGCCCGGATAACTACAATAAAAGAAGATAGGTCAAGTGAATAGCATCTTCTTTATCCTTAGTAATAGCTCATTTTCAAATAGCATAAATGAAAGAGAATAGTAGGCTAGACTTTTAAAATTTCAATTTGCTGAATGCAGTGTGGAAATACTGCTTGATTTATCCTTGAAACGTTACTACTGCTAATAATAATAGCATAACTAACCATAATTATTATAATAAAATAATTAGAAGTTAAACTGCTCTGGGTACTGAAACAGACAAGAATTTTCCACACAACAACCCAGGCATAATAATTGTTCATAAGACAGACAAAACAAGTCTGGGTAATGGACACGAGACAGCAAAATAGAAGACAATGAACTGGAGAAAATAATCACAAAATATAAAGACCTGAAAAATAGTTGTGACTTGTGGCAAAATAAAAGCAAAAGAGGACCAATATTAATAGGAGCTTTGGGTGTAATCACAAAACATCTGGAGCACCACTTGAACACCATCAACATTGCCGAAATCACCATTAGTCAATTGCAAAAGGCAGCTTTATTGGAACAGCTTACATCCTGTCACAATATATTTAATGTTATTAAACAATAACATCTGCCTATCCCCAGTCCTTGGGAAAAATAGATGGTATCAGTATGTTTCCTTAGTACTTTCTTTCAACATGTCATATTTGCCATACTTGCCTTTTCAGCTCAGCTAGTACAGTAAGTGGCAAATGTAGCTCTTTAGTGGAATAGAAAATTATATGTTGCTGAAGACAAGAGAGAATCATTATACAAAGCCTTGAGACTGACCATCAGGCCCAAAACCAAGAATAACATGTGGGTGATTCTTCTACGCTGAGTTCTTAGCCTATAGGAAAAATCTTGCCAGACTGAGCACTCTACTATTTGCACCTATAATATTTTGGGGGAGCTATTAGAGAGGGGAAGTCTTCACCCTCTTCCTCTCACACATCTGGGCTGAGGTATCTCTTACTCCTCTGAAATCCATCTCCTTACTACATTCCATCACACTAACAGTCCAGAGGTGGTATTCAGCAGGTTCTGACCAGTTCTGGAGAACCAGTAGTGGAAATTTTGAGTAGTTCAGAGAATCGGCAAATACCATCTCTGACTGGAGATTTTACAGTATCCTTCCCCTGCCACATCCACTAAGCCATGCCCACAGAAGCAGTAGTAAAAAAATTTGAATCCCGCCACTGTAACAGTCTCTAAGTAGTAGATAGCAATTTGATTTAAGATTTGAGCTAGTCAATCTCTCCCAGCCCAACCTACCTCACAAGACTGTTATGGAGCATTATGGAGTAATACAAATTAAATGTAGTACAAAATAAATGCAGGATAAAAATCTAAATTAATACTTTATTAACTTGTCAGGTACATATCGAGTCAGAACATTTGAGAGGTTATAATTAATTTATGTAAGAAAAGTCAAGTCTGTGGAGGCTTATACATCCTTAAACTCTTTAAACTAATAACAGTTAAAACAAACTTGAACAATTTGGAGGAGTTTGCTGTAACTTTAATGTTTTAATCATTTCTCTTTCCCTGCCATTACTGTTTCATCAAATACTGAGTAAATAGCAATGATCTAGATTTTAATTGTACAAAAATATTTATCCAAGAAAAATATCTTGATAAATTTCACTTTGACTCAGAAGCAGGCATGTGACATTTTCCTTCAACAAAAAAAGGAAACCAATGAAACTCATTTACTTTACTCCATGGCTCATTATGTGAGCATATTTTCCAATGTTGAAGATGGGCTGAAAGAAATATATGCAGCCTGAAAGAATAGGGATGCATCCAATGTATGTGATAATTCATAACTTTGACAGCTTTTCTGCTTTATCCTTTTCAGAATATTTTTTAAAATGTGTCTCACTTCTAACCTTATTATTTCTAATCTAAGTATTAGTTTGCAACTGTGCCAAATGAATCAAATGAGGCTATTACAAATACTCTTATAGCCAAGGAGTTGGAGCTGCTAGAATTATTGTTGGAATTGAATATTTCTTATTTCAAAGTTCTTTTTTTTCTTTTAAATATTGGATATATTAGCACAATCTGCTTTGCTAAGCCATATCTGCTACTAGGAAAAAATATTCTAAATGAAGCAGAATCCTGTGGAAAGAAGTGTATGTAACTGGATATTCCTATTATCAATGTGTTATGCAAGTAATGTGATCACAACTATTAGACAGAATCTATAAGCATCCATGCATTCAGTGATAATTTGAAGAGGACCTACAAACATAGTTGGACATAGATACATACATACATACACAAGAAGGAGCCATCATTATCCACATTTCTCTTAATGATGGCTTATGTCTGCTAAATATAAATACCAAATAAGTTATTGGGGTGCATGTTCAGCAGGTACAGGGCAAGGTTATGAAATGAGTTACGGAATATCTGAAGAAGTGTAAGTAAAAACTATAAAGATTCAGTTCTTCAACATATGTGCATAATATGATCCACCAGGCCAACATAACTAACCAGCTGCGCATGGCGGCCCATAAGGGACACAACATTCATTTTAAAACCGATATATAATCTGCTGTAAAAAGCCTACTGCTTGAGATTTTTTCTATCCAGTGCTATGATTTCTGTACTTATATTATCCGGAATTACTTTAAATAGAAATATTTCTAAAAGTTATTTCATCATCACATATGTTTTCCAGAAAAAAAGTACCTTGAACATTCTCTTTATCTCTTCAAATTTTTTTCCGGTGTCTTATTACAGTCTTACTATTACTGATGGGAAATTTCATCCCACACAAGTGGACACCAAAATAGCAGCATGTTTTTAAACCACGGTCACTTTGAAGTGGTGCCCATCAAAACATACTGTGAAGAATGTTTCTGAATACTTTGGGGTTTAGGGTCAAATTATTTTGTGGGATGAGAGCAGCTGCTAAGGTCTCACAGATGATTTGTAATTGTTTATGCAATATTAATTTGGATAAGCATATAAAATTCTAGTAATATAAGCAGGCCAGTTAACTTATAATATTAAACCAATCCCACAGACCAATTGAATTGTCATGCAATTATATAGATGCAGTTATTTTAATTTAAAAAATAACATTTTCCATATGCTTGTACATATGCTATATTAAAAAAGCCTTTTTGCTGGGAATTACTTGAAAACATTAGTGTTTTGCTTGAACCAGCTGTCTTGAAAGCTATAAAACACAGATAAAGAGATTAAAGCCATTATATCTTTATAATGCAACTTGCAAGTTTAGTGAACATAGAAATATGAAAAATTCTAAATGATGCTCTAGAAAATTACATCTGAGATTTTACCATGCTTTTGCATAAACAACCAACATGTCACCAGTTCCCCTTTATAAATAATGTCTGCCTGTCTGTCTGTCTGCCTGCCTGCCTGCCTGCCTGCCTGGAATTTAATAATCCAGTTCTAAATAACCATTAAGAACTTTTGGTGGTCCAAGAAAAAGAAAAACAGAAAATATCATCCATTGCTGCCATCTTGGGACCTACTTAAGTGCATGCTACTACTTAAGGAAAAGAATGCAAGAAGAATCAATCCCAGCTGCAACCATAGAAGAAGCCTCCATAACAGTAAATTACCAGAAGGTGTATGATCTTAACTTTCTATAAGCATAAATTCAACAATCTATCTTCAAAAGGTTCCATACATAAGAAAAGCTCTACTAGCTCAGTAACTGTCTGTATTTTCTTGTTCCTCTTTCACAACTTTTCCTGGGTATGCATTGGCACAAGACCTATTGAATTTCATAGAAGATCTGTGCTGGATGTAGACTTCTATTAAAGCTAATTGGAAAAGACAAATTCTCCTTTTCAATAATCCCTGAAGCTATAGCACAGGCTATAGAATAGAAAAAATGCTATAGAATAGGAAAAATGCAGCTGTGTGATGCTTTGAAGAGACAAATCTTAAGATGATTCATCATCATAGATTTATTCAAGTTATATCCTGCTCTTTTTTCCTGGGGGCTCTCAAGGAAGCCATCCAAACTTAAGCCTAGAAAAATACCAAGTAAGGACTGAGATAAGGTTTGAATAGAGGAGAAAGAAAAAAATTAAGGCATAGTTGTTTGATCAGAATAAAGCTACTACTAGTACTATTAGTACATATTGTTATTATTTATTATTATTATTATTGCTATTTCTGTATTATAATCTTTCCGTATATTTGATTTTTAGTATTTTTAAGTTTTTCAGATTGGCTTGAGTTGGAATTATGTTGAAACTAATTCCACATTCTCAATAGAAAACAGGAGAATATAAAGTGGTCCATATAATTCATTTCTTCTAGAGGCCTTTGAATCTGCAAGCTTGACCATCTTCTTAACAACTTTCTTCAGGATAGGAAGGCTTGGAGACATGTTGGAAATTATCTAATACCACTGGATCCAGCAATAAATTATTGAAGAAATTCCTTTAGAGGAGATGGAACTACACTCTTGTTCAAGGAGGAATTGACCACCATTTGGACACAATCACACATAACACATAATGACCTGAAATGACCAACCAGAAGAGATGTGGACCTAACGAATAGGTGACTGTGTTCAAAATACAAGCCTTTTGGTATATCTTGAGAATCAATACATTCAAACTCTTACATACACTGAATTACATGCATAGAATAACAGAGTTGGAAGGAACCTCAGAGGTTTTCTAGTCCACCCCCTTCTTCAAACAGGAAACCCTATACCATTTCAGACAAATGGCTCCACAATGCCTCCAGTGATGGAGCAACCACAACTTCTGAAGGCAAACTGTTCCACTGGTTAATTTTTCTCACTGTTAGGAAATACCTCCTTAGTTTTAATTTGCTTCTATCCTTGTTTAGTTTCTATCCCTTGTTTCTTGTCTTGCCTTCTGATGCTTTAGAAAATAGGTTGACCCCTCTTCTTTGTGGCAGCTCCTCAAACAATGGAACATTGCTATCTTGTCTCCCATGGTTCTTCTTTTCTCTAGACATATCCAATTCCTGCAGCTG